CCCGGGAGCGCCCCCCCCACCTCCCGCCTTCCTCCGCGCCTAGACACGCCTCTTAATTTGCATAAAAGGCGGGGCACTTCTACCCTACCCCTCTTTACTTCCAGGGTCGTCCACATTAAAAAAAAAAGGGGGGGGGTGGCAGGGCGTGAGGAGCATGCGGGTCTATTTGCATAAAGAGGAGGGACTTACGGATGCTAGAACACCGGTTGGTTGAGGAGGCGGGCCCCCGGCGTCGGCCGTTGAGACGTGTAGAGGGGGTGGAAATACGGCGCCGTTCGGCTGGGCGGTTCGGTCGCAGGATTTACACGAGGAATGATGGTGAAAAAGGCGGGGCGTGCGTCGTGCGTTCGTGGAAAGATGGGCCGCAGGAACGTAGGGACGCCGAAAGTGGAAGAAAACGATGCGAGGCCCGTGGCGGCCTTCAGCAGAGGGGACGGAGAGAGGACTGAACTAGAGGGCAGGATTAGCTGCCGAGAGTGGAGCTTACCTAGACCCGGGAAGAGTCTCGGCTCACGTGCCCTTTTCTGGGAATTGGGGGGGGGAAGCACCAGGGGGAGGGGCCTTCATTTATTAAATCACGTCATGCAAATAAAGTGGATAGACCGGCCAATCCAAGGGTCCAGGGAGGCGAATCATCCGTTCGTAGGCTTTCTTTGGGTAGCTCTGTTTATTTGCATAATGTTTGCAAATCATTTGAACAAAGATAGGGTAGGAATGACCTATTCATTGAAATATCGGCAACCTGTGACTAAGATGGACATTTAATTTCGTAACCTAGGATTTCATGGATGACTTTTTATATTTGATTTATTGGTAAATTGTATGTTGTTAACAATGGATTTCATTTTATGAAATGCCGTACTCTTTCTCTCCTTTGTCTCTTGTTACCTGACTATAGAACCCTCTGCTCCCATCGTACCTACTACCCATTCAACAAATCATTCAACAACTAAGTTTTGAAGGTGCCAGAGATATGCACAGACTGTTATAGACGTAGGGGAATAAAATCTGATCGTGCTTGGGGGGGGGGTTTGGAATGCTTCTAGAAAAATTCTTATTAAGAGATGAAGGACTAGTTAGAACTTGTCCAAGTTTGAGGAGAGGGTGCATATCTCAGGCGCTGTGAACAGATGAGTGGAGGGGCATGGGGTTGGGGACCTGCGCCTGGGTTGGTGTGGCTAAGTATGGGGCCTGACTGCCTGCTTGTTAAGGAAAATAACGGCAGAAAAGTTAACAGAAATCAGGTAAGAACTTTAGCCTAAGGCTCACTGAGATTTAAGATGGCTATAGTTTTAAAACTTTAAAAATGATTCTCTTGTCCTCTCTTCCTGGTCAGCTGTCATGCACACAATTTTTTTCCCTTTGCAGCAAAAAAAAAAAAAAGTTTCTATTCTTTTTTTGGCTAATTTATTTCATTTCAGTTTGCAGCAAAATTTCTTAGAAGGGCTAGCCATACTCATTGTCTCTAATTTCTCTCCTTTCAGTCTCTCTTAAACCCACTGCAATGAAGCATTCACCCCCATTCTCTACCAAAACTGAGTTTGTCAAGGACATCCAGTCTCATGGCTTACATGGGTGGGTGATTCTGTGAAATGTATCTTCATAACAGACCTCTCTAACAAAATCCAGGCTCGTATACACAGCTATGTACTTGGTATCTCCCTTTGGGTATCCAATAGATCATTTCAAATTCAGTATGTCCAAAACTGAACACTTGATCTCCAGGCCCTCAAGACCTGCTCAAAAACCTCGGAATTCTCATGGACTCCTTTCTTTATCTCACTCCCAGCTTTTAATCAGTCAGGAAATTCTATCTTGAGAAAATATCCAGGATCCTACTTTACTTTCTCTTCATATTTCTTGTCATCTTCTTACATCATATAAATTTTATTTTATTTTATTTATATATTTATTTTTGAGTTGGAGTCTTACTCTGTCACCCAGACTGGAGTGCAGTGGCCGCTCCCAGCCACCTCAGCCTTGACCTGCTGGGCTCCGGCGATCCTTCTGCCTCAGCCTTCCAAGTAGCCAGAACTACAGGCATGTGCTACCATGCCTGGCTAATTTTTGACTTATTGTAGAGATGAGGTCTCACCAATTTGCCCAGGTGGGTCTCGAACCTGCGGGCTCAGGAAGTGCACTCACCTCAGCCTCCCAGAGCACTGGGATTACAGGCTGAGCCACCGAGCCCGGCTCCATCGTATAAATTTTAAATTACGTTTATTGTTTATTGTCAGTCTTCCTCTCCTTGCAATTCCCAAAATGGAAAGAAAATTTGGTTGGGTGCAGTGGCTCATGCCTATAATCCCAGCACTTTGGGAGACCAAGGTGAGAGGATTGCCTGAGCCTATGGGTTCTAGACCAGCCTGGGCAACTTGGTGATACCTCATCTCTACAATTAAAAAAAACCAACTAGCCAGGCCTGGAGATGTGTGCCTGAAGCTCCAGCTATTTGGAAGGCTGAGGTGGAAGGGTCACCTGAGCCCAGCAGGTTGAGGCTGCGGTGGCCATGAGTGTGCCACTGCACTCACTCCGGCGACAGAGTGAGGCTCCAACTCAAAAAAAAAGAAGAAGAAATTTCATGAAGGCAGGGATCTTTGTATTCTTTCCTTTTTTTGAGTTGGAGTTTCACTCTGTTGCCCAGGCTGAAGTGCAATGGCATGCTCACGGCCACCACAGCCTCCACCTGCTGGACTCAGGTGATTCTTCTACCTCAGTCTTTCAAGTAGCTGGAGCTAAAGGCACATGCCACCAGACTCGGTTAATTTTTTGATTTATTGTAGAGATGAGGTGTTGCCAAATTGCTCAGACTGGTCTCAAACCCATGGGCTTAGGCAATCCTCTCACCTCGGCCTCCCAAAGTGCTGGGATTATAGGCTTGAGCCACTGCAACCAGCCTGTATTCTTGAGTTTTACATCCCAAGCACCTAGAATAAGGAATGGTGCTTGATGTCCAATAAATGATTTTTAAAATATTTTAAAATCCAAGCATATTTACATATAGAAAACATGTAACCGGGGCCTCTTTTTCATGGTGCCTTGAAGCCCATCAGCTGCTTCAAGGTGAAGCTGAATATCTCCTTCCCAGCCACTGGCTGCCAGAAACTCGATGAAGTGGATGATGAACACAAGCTCCGTACCTTCTACAAGAAGTACATGGCCACAGAAGTTGCCGCAGACTTCCTGGGTGAAGAATGGAAGGGTTATGTGGTCCGAATCAGTGGCAGGAGCAATAAGCAAGGTTTCCCCATGAAGCAGGGTGTCTTGCCCCGTGACTGTGTCTGCCTGCTGCTGAGTAAGGGGCATTCCTGTTACAGACCAAGGAGAACTGGAGAAAGAAAGCGCAAATCTGTTCGGGGTTGCATTGTGGATGTCAATCTGAGCGTTCTCAACTTGGTTATTTAAAAAAAAGGAGAGAAGGATATTCCTGGGCTGACTGATACTACAGTGCCTTGTCAACTGGGGCCCAAAAGGGCTAGTAGAATCTGCAAACTCTTCAGTCTCTCTAAAGAAGATGATGTCCGCTGGGCTCAGTGGCTCAGCCTGTAATCCCGCGCCTTTGGAAGGCTGAGGTGAGTGGATTGCCTGAGCCCGTGGGTTCGAGACCCGCCTGGGCAGCGAGACCTCATCTCTACAATAAATCAAAAAATCAGCCGGGCATGGTAGCACATGCCTATAATTCCGCCTACTTGGAAGGCTGAGGCAGAAGGATCGCCGGAGCCCAACAGGTCGAGGCTGCGGTGGCCGGGAGCGGCCACTGCACTCCAGTCTGGGCAACAGAGTGAGACTCCAACTCAAAAAAAAAAGAAGATGATGTCCACCAGTATGTTGTAAGAAAGCCCTTAAAGAAGGTAAGAAACCTAGGACCAAAGCACCCAAGATTCTGCGTCTTGTTACCCTACGTGTCCTGCAACACAAACGCTGACATATTGCTTTGAAGAAACAGTGTACTAAGAAAAATAAGGAAGAGGCTGCAGAATATGCTAATCTTTTGTCCAAGAGAATGAAGGAGGCCAAAGAAAAACACCAGGAACAGATTGCCAAGAGACGCAAACTATCTTCTCTGTGAGCTTCTACTTCCAAGTCTGAGTCTAGTCAAAAATAAGATTTTTTGGGTAACAAATAAATAAGATCAGAACCTCTACAAAGAAAACATACAACCAAAAACAGAACCTTAACTAAAACTCTAGAAACTGTCTCTTCTATTTACTGCCCTCCCCCAAGTCTTAACTACGATTCTGACTTCTAACAACATAGATGAGTTTTACCTGTTCTTGTACTTTGTACAAATAGGATTGTACCGTAAGAGTTATTTTGTGCCTGTCCTCTTTTGCCCAACATTATTTTTTAGAGACAGAGTCTTGCTATGTTGCCCAGGCTGTATAATAATAGTACTGGCCAGGCACGGTGGCTCTCACACCTGTAATCCCAGCACTTGGCCTTGGGAGGCCAAGGCAGGAGGATTGCTTGAGCCCATGAGTTTGAGACCAACCTGGGCAACATAGTGAGACCTTGCCTCTACAAAAAATAAAAAAATTAGTTGGACGTGGTGGCCCATGTCTGGTCCCAGCTTTTAGGGAGATTGGGGCAGAAGCGTCATCTGAACCTAAGAGTTGGAGGCTGCAGTAAGCTGTGATCACGCCACTGTACTCCAGCCTAGGTGACAGAGTGAGACTCTGACTCAAAAAAATTAAAAAATAATAGTACTATATTTAAGAATAGTACATTGTGTGACTATAACCCAATTTATATTTCCTGAATTAATTATTTAAGCTTCAGATTCTTTCTATCCTTTTTAGTGTCACCAGGGTTGTTGGGATGGCCCATGAATTAATACTTGGAAAGCATTTGGCAAAGTATCTAGTATATGGTAGGTACTTACTAAAGTTTAGCTATTCATTCATTATATTATATTCATTATTTTATATTATTTGTCTTATTCAATTTATTCAGTTATTATATTTGGGTCATTGAGCAATTATTGTTTCTTTATCTGATGTCCTATACAGTTACTGTATCTCTAGGAGTCACCAACTAGTATGCCTCCCTGGTTTCACCACTGAAATGGGCCACCATAGGAAACCCCAGTGGTTGGGTCTATCCTCAGCACATGAAACAAGTTGGGCTAATCAACCATCAGGAAATCTGAAATAGTGACCAGAAACAGAGCGTTGCTAGAGTTGACTCATCTAAACCCTTTGGAAAAAGAAAGGTTTGGGCTCACCAAAGAGCCTGGGACTCTTAGGCTGCTCCCTTCCCTGGGGTTGCCTGTTCAGTCCTTTCTGTCACTCAGAAATCCTGTATCCGCAGAATCTGCCCACAGTAGCCTCTCAATACAACCTTCTTTTCCCATCATTAGATAGACTCAGTTTCTGTAGCTTGTCCCCAAAAGGATCACAAACTCTTAAATTATCAGACCTTATAGTGCTGTGAATCCTTTATTTAATATCACCAGTTGTTTCATTCATCCATCCACTCATTCAAGTTTTATACATTATTGAGAGCTTGTGATATGTCAGGCATGACAGCATAGGTCATTTTATTCCCATTTTCCGATAAAAGCCTCAGAGGCTGAATGATGTGTCAAGATCACAAAGCTTATAGTGGTGGAGAATGTTGGTTTAAGGTATTACTCTCTCCATGAAATCTATCATGGGCCTAGGTACATTGTCTGCACATATCTTTCTGTCCCACCTAAATTCCTTAAGGTCAAGGCTGTCTTATACAGCTAGAATCGCCCTTGGTGCACAAAGACGTTGGCTGTAGTTTGCTGTTCATGTGGGCAAATCCATGCTGCCCCTCCTTCAAAGATACTTCTCTCCTTTCCAAACCCAGGGGGAAAAAATCCCCCAAATAAAAACCAAGTTAATTTGACCAGGAGGAGAGGATAATTTATTTAGTTTGATTCTGGCTCACAATTTTGTGGTCTTTGTCTATGTCTGGGTCATTAGAATCCCCTTTAATTCCACTACATCCCCTTTTCCCCAAAATCAGGGTAATTCAGAGATGGCTTTCTTGGCTGGAGGACCCATTGGCTTTTCTTGTTCTCTTGCTTTCTCTTCATACATCAGGATCCTGGTTGAGATGGAAGAGACATAGGTATCAGGGGACAGTCCTCTCAAGAGAATAAATCATAGACTGCTGTGAGAGGCTAGAAGGAGATGGAGTTGTGAGGGTGTAAAGAAGGAAAAAGGGCAGGGGTGGGGGTACTGGGGGATGTGCATGGGAATAGGGAGAGGACCTTGAAAGGGTCCCCCTAAGGATGGAAGAATGGATGTTAGCCAGGCTCGGTGGCTCAGCCTGTAATCCCATGCCTTTGGGAGGCTGAAGTGAGTGGA